TTTTTTTTTCATTGATTTCTTGTATCATATATATATATTTATAAGTATTTTTATTCATATATTATGTGTACATACACGTGTCACATGATTACTTATTGTCCAATCAAATTTTATAAAATCAAATAAACCATGATTCATATAATTCTGTAATACCGAATCGTAACAATAAGTTTTTATGACTTATTATGCAACAACCATTATTATATTATTATTACGCAATGACCATTATTATTTCATCATTACGTAATGATCGTTATTATATCATCATTACATAGCAAGAATTATTTGATTATCATTATATACTAATACGCAACAACTATTCTAGAATGCTAATCTAATACTATACTATTGATACTATCCAACTCGATTCCAACTATCCTAATATTAACCTTATACTATCATATAACAACAAGCTTAAAAACATCAATGCTATACAAAAATGGCAAAATATAAATGACATCAACAATGAAGCGGTGATGCCAAATATAGTAGAAATGAGAAGACCACATAACCGATCGAACTAATTCATTGCTACCTACAAAGAAAAAAGGAAGTATTAGTAAAGTATATTCACTGTTTAGAACAACTAAAACAAATCATACTTCCCAAAATATGCCTAACCATTTGAATGACAAGTTCTGTTACCTACAAAAAAAAAAGAAGTCATTAGTAAAGTGCATCACAGATCAGAACAATTAGAACAACAAATTATACTTTCCAAAATATGCTCAGACAAGTTCGCTAAATGCCTTCAATCTATTGTTATCTATAAAGAAAAACAAAGAAGCATTAGTAAAGTATATCACAGATCAGAATGACTAAAACAAAAATCATACTTCCCGAAATATACCCAGACAAGTTTGCTAAATGCCTTTGATCTATTGTTACCTACAAAGAAAAAAAAAGAAATCATTAGCAAAGCATATAACAAATCAGAACAAATCAGAACAACCAGAACAACAAATCATACTTCCTAAAATTCATCTAGAAAAGTTCACTAAACACCATCGA